TGCCAAGGTTGGGACTTTCCGGAATCGGCGCAGGCGCTCCCCGTCTGGCCCGCGCGGGGCGTCCCTGCAAGCCACGCAATGATAGAATGCCTTCCGGATGGCTCGGGGGACGGGCTCATCCAGCACCCACATGACATCGCTCTGCCCGCATTTCGTCGGCGAGTGGCCCTCAGCCGCGCAAGCAGCCAACGCGGCTTGGGGCAGCACCACCAGAACGTCCAACCTATCAGCGCCGACGGCGCTGTCATGGTCTTGGGGTAGCGGCGGCAGCGCCTGCTCGGAGATCACTGGAGCGGGCGCTGTTTCCATTGAGTACATGACCGGCGGGTCCCGGGCCACGAATGCAGAATCTGCGGCGTGCCAATCCACGAAGACGCCGGCCTCTCGCACCATGTCCTGCGACACGGTGATCTCCTCGCCAAGGACGAAGCCGGCGCCCTGCGGAATCAGACTGGTCGCAGCGACAACGTGGCGACCGCCGCCGCCATAGCCGCCGCCCCGCCACTTAGCGCGGCCGCCAGCAATCACAAGTTCACCCCCTGTCAACTTCAGCTGCCAGCCGCGCGCCACTGAGCACCGCCACCAATTCCCTGCCGCTTCTGGGACGGACCCGGCGGCGGCACCAGGCATCGACGCGACGAAGGACATGTTGGCCACAGTGAGGCGTCGTAACAACTCGAACCGGTCGGCGCGAGCGCCGCAGAGCAACCTACCGACGCCCGCCTGCCACGTAGCGTCGGGCACTTCCTCTGCACAGCTCGGTTTCAAAGATGCGCTGTCAGCGCCAGGGCGGACCAGATTGAGAACTGCATCGCGCCGTACAGCTTTCCGAACACGCTTCGGCAAACCACCGCCGTCTTCAAACCTGTCCGCACGAAGGCCGACGCGCCGCTTCAACGCGGCAGCGCGCTTGCGCAGACGAGCTGTGCCATCTTTCTTGCCTGTGTGGGGTTTGTGAGGCTTGTGCGGTTTGTGAGCTTTGTGCTTCAGACCTTTGCGCGAAGGACGATTCGGCCGATAGGCTCGCTTCGGAGCTCCCGCCGAAGAAGAGGCAGCAGTGCGAGGCCGACTGCCGCTACCAACAGTGGGGGCAGCATCGCCAGAGCCGCCGCAAGCACCAAGACCGCCTTGCGCTGGAGAGTCATCCAGCGCATCGCCCCCGGAACATGCCACTGCAGCTTTCGGCGCCGGGCCCGACGAGGAAACCGCACTTCCACGCAAGAGCGCCAACACTGCGTGGCCGTCCATGCTGGACGCTGACGGCTGGGCGCCTTGAGCCGCAATTGCAACGGGGAGGAATGCTGAGGAGCGGGGGGCAATTCGGAGAACTGCAGAAAAGTCAGAAAACTCGGCTGGAGCGGCGGCTTACTCCCTCTTCCTCTCTTTTCCTCCCTCTGCCTCCTCCTCTTGTCCCCCTCCTACCCGAGCCCGGGGCTATAGCGCAATTTCGGTGGCTAGTGCCGGTCGGAGCGAATAAATCGCACCACCTTCTTCAACATTGGCCGGAGCATCGTGTTCACTCTTCTCGGACAAGCGTTTTTTGGCAATCGCAATGCCCACTTTCGTGCCTTCTGGCCCGTTCTGCGGCGACCGTTTAGATCGCCACAGGGCGCTGCAGTTTGTGCAAGGTTCCCGATCGTTGCAACGCCTGCCCCGTGCGACGAGGATGACACATCACAGCTCCGTGGGTTTATTGTGATTTCAGTACGCATTTTAAAAGCCGCAATTCGTGACAAGTTCGTTACGTCACGAATCTGTGCAAGATGCTTGTGGTCGAATCGCTGAGTAGACTTTCAGATTGTAAATGTCTTGTTTGTGTGGACCCCGGAACAGTGTGACCAAGCACCGTCTGGGTTGGTCCCTGTCACGGCCACGTGGCCGATGGACTCGAGGAGGGGGTCTGCCCTGGACTCGGCCGGAGTCGAAACTGTGCCTGTGTTCACTGGATGCCGCCACACACGTGCGCGCTGAGTCCTAGAACCCGAATGACGGCACACACGCCGCAGCCGCGTGGCTGATGGAGTCTGGGACACGGTGCACGGAGCAGCCGATTCGAGCTGCCCTTCCCCCTGGGTTCCTTCCTCCCGCTGCTCCTCTCTCCTCCCCCTCCCTTAATCAGTGGTATGGGAAACACTGTCTGCACGCGCCGTGCGTGTGATCCATTGGGGGCCGCAGGTTGCCGACTCGACTTTGTCCTCGGGCTCGCCACCCCGCCTCCTCCATGTCCGTTCCGCGTACGGTGGAAACTCACACTACGTAGTTGAACCTATGATTGCGAGCGTCCGCAGTCCTTCGCGCTCCGAGTGCCTTGCACTGGACACCGCCAGTGGTTACGAACTGGGGCATTTTCGTATCATACCGCCTCCGAGCTCTTCACAATTGCTGCTCCCCTTCTGGCTGACGCCACGGTCCCCAGCACGTGGTGCGCGTGACGCCCGATTTGGGCAACCACGCTGCCCACTTGTGCTCCTAATTCCTCACTCCTTCTGCCCCTGACTCTCCATCACTCCTCACTCCTCATCCCTTACTCCTCCTTCTCTCTCTCTCTCTCTCTCTGTCTTTCTTTCTTTCTCTCTCTCTCTCTCTCTGTCGGCCCATGTTGCCTCCGTGCCTGGGTTGTGGGTCGGAGGCGTGTTGGATGCATCTTGGGATCTATTGGGATGCCTCTTGTCGACCTTTTTCGAAGTCTCTTGGAAGCCTCTTGGGCCCCTTGGCGGACCTCACAAAGGGCCTCTTAGAAGCATCTTGGGGCCTCTTGGAAGCCTCTGGGAGGATCTAGAGGGCGTTGGGAGGACATGCAGCCGAGAAGTGTTTAATACTGCCCCAATGCGGTTTCAAGTGCCAGGGGACCCCCCCCCAGAGGCCAACATGGCTCCCAAACTTAAGGAGCATCGATGTTGTTCAGCATTCTCGCTGTTTCGCTTTCGATGGGCTCTCGAGGTTTCAAGATGACCCCAAGGCGGCCCAACAGAGCCCCATGAGGGGCCTCAGAAGGCTCCAGAGACAAACCCCCAAGAGCGCCCCAGAGCGCTCAGCGGCCCCAGAGGGCCCCAAGACGCCATGTTTGAGCCCTCGAGGGGGGACAGGACTTTAGTACTCCCCCTATGTTTGAACCACGGGGCATAAGATTGCCTCAGGAGGCGTCCCAGACACTGCCAAAGAGCCCCAAGAGGGGCCCAAGACCCCACAAACGAGTCCCAAGAGAGCCCTAAGAGTGGTCCAAGAGGCCGCACGGAGAACCCAAGCGGGTTCCAAGACGGCCCTACGAGATCATCATCATCGTCACCACCACCACCACCACCACCACCATCATCATCATCATCATCATCATCATCATCATCATCATCATCATCATCATCATCGTCATCATCATCATCATCATCATCATCATCATCATCATAATCATCACCATCACCATCACATCCTACCATCCATCACATCATCAATCATGCCCATCATCATCATCATCATCATCATCATCATCATCATCGTCATCGTCTCAAACACACCCATCACCATCATCACACGATCGTCATCTATCATCCTCACCACCAACATCATCATCATCATCAGTCATCATCATGATCCATCGGTCGTCGTCGTCATCATCATCGTCGTCCCATCATCATCGTGAAAGGTCGGAAGATGTGTGAAGTTTCATGAATCGCCGGCCCAACGGGCCAGAGGCGTGCTAAGATCTACGGTAACTTGTTAACAATATTTCTAGTTCGCGCGCGCGGAGCGGCCCCTGGGGGCCCCCGGACGAAAAGTACCCCGGCAAGGTCCCGAGAGAAGCCCGGGAGAAGCCCCCAGACCACTCCAGGGGAGGGTATTTTTCGACACCCCTCACGAGGATCGTGGCCTCCGAGGGGGGAGCCGCAATCGACTACCCCCAAGAGCCCCCCAAGAGGCCCGGGGGGCCTCCAAAACGCCGCCAAGGAGCCCCAAGAGACTCCCAAGAGGTCCCCAAGAGGCCCCCAAGAGGCCCTAAAGAGGGCTCCAGGGCCGGCGGCATGAGCGAAGCGATTAAATAAAACCTTTGCCTGTGAAGCTAATTGCTTGCGGGGGGGAGGAGGAAGTACGAGCACAGGCTTCATGCGCGACACTGTTTTGCCTCTAAATTGTTTGCAGGGTCGAGGGTGGGTTAGGGGCAAGTAGAGCCTTCATGCTTGGAAGTGTTTCTGCCTCTGCTGCGCCCCAGCTGTTTCGCGCGTTCCCGTCGTTACCGCGCCCCCGGCGTGCTTTCAAGGGCTGTTCCACTGCATGCGTCAAGAATTGGTTCAGTCTGCGGCCCTGTCTGTCCCACAAGCGTGGGCCAGACTGCAATGCCCAGTGCTCCTCCTCTTCCTCCTCCTCCTCCTCATCCTCCTCCTTTGCGCCGGCAGTCTCGGAAATGCGACGTTGGTCGCTCCCGGCAGCTCGCTGCTGATGACCGGTTTCTCCTTCCTCGTCCTCCTCCTCCTCCTCCACCTCCTCCTCCTCGTCGCCCTCCTCCTCCTCCCCCTCCTACTCCCTCCCTCCATTTCGTCCCGGACGCCATCATTCCGGCGAACGCGGCCGAGGCTCGGGGCGGAAAGAAGAAACGGATTTGTTTCGTTCTCCTGCCGCTGCCGCACTCTTTGCCTGGACTCCTTTCCTTTGTTCGCCCCCCCTGTTGTCCCGGGTCGTTCCTTCTCCTCCTCCTCCTCCTGCCCGTCCTCCCCCCCCACTCTCTTCCTTCTACTCATCCTGGTCATGCTCTCAACCCTCCCTCCCTTTTTGCAAGATTGCGCCGCCGGTCGCTAGAATCGCCAAACGTGTTCTTCCTGGGCAAAATGGTATACATGTCCACCTGGACACTCCATGTTCAAAGAGCTGGGCCGTGAATTACCACGCACCCTTATGCGGAAAATGAATGCCCGCAACGCAAAACTAGCCTCGCGTCCCCCGCGCGCTGAATGATGACACGACTAGGCTGCGGGCGCTTGCAGCGCCCTCCCGCGGTGGCAATGGACAACAACTCACGCCTCTGGCTGGCCGCCGGCAGCCTCGGCGACGTCAGCGTCCTCCTCAACGGCTTCGGTCTTAGACACGAACGCCTCGAACGCAAATGCCTGGAAGTTCTTGACGCCCTCCTTCAGAACTGCCTCCACTGCGGCCGTCCCGCGCGTGGCCGCCCAGTGGTCCAGCAGCCAGCGGCACGCGTCCGCCGCCCAAGCGGGAGGGTTTCTCATCTCGGCATCGACGTTGTAAATCTCTTTCGCTCGCCCTTCTGTGGCGAGACAGGCTGGACTGTCTCGCAACAGCGTGAAAAGCTGCGACACCTCGCCCAAGCAAGCCGGCCAGTCCTTGGCAACCGTGTCTAAGTACGGAAGGATTCGGCGGACCGAGGCACGGCCGTCCCCATCTCATTCTTCAACTTGCTCTGCCTGTCCATGAAGATCTGCATCGATATTGGCGCGTCATCGCCCGCCATGGTTTTGATCCTGATGGAGTGCATCCAAGGTGGAAAAGGGGGCTCGCTCCCATTGATTGGCGTGAACGCCGTGTCGTCGAGCTCCTGGAAGCCGGCCACAAGACCCACGGAACGGAGGAGCTCCGCGACTCGCATCATTCCAGGGCGATTCGCCCACTTGTGTTGTTTGAATAGCTCTTTCCCCAAGCCTGACCGCCCGTAGTTCTTGACTGCGTCGATGGCCTTGCCGATCGGAATGTCACCCCGACTGTCGACTTTGCCCATGACCACCATGCACGCCACTTCCTCAGCGTACATGAAAAAAGGCACGGTCGTCCACGGGCCCCTCCGCAGGCACGGGCGCGTCGATCAAAGGCGGAACCTCGTTGTAGGACTGCGCTGGGGCACGTCGGCGGCCAGCGTCACAAGACACCTCAGAAAATCCAAAACAGCGGGGTGGGAAAAGAAAAAAACAATACCGATCTGCAGCGGTACTCCTGTAAACGAGCTCGCGCGCGCACTGTCCCATCCTCCGCCGCGAAGACGGCTCCGCACGGGCGCGCGCGCAAACTCACGCACGCGCGCGCGCGCGCTCGCGCACGCACATTCACGCGCGCATGCACTCACGCACGCACGCGCGTCATTCTAGCGCACGCGGCCCGATGAAGACCCACTGGGGCGGCGCGGCATCTTCGGCCGAAGCGCCCGCGCAGAAGCGCGCGCAAGCACGCGCGCGCCAAAACACAGTAGATCGCAACCATGACGCATCCGAGCAGAGCTAAGCAATAGACTGCGGCTACATCAACAGCTTCGCGGGCCCAATCAATGACGGCCTTGATGACGAATTGCCACGGGATTTTGCCCCCGTACTGGAGTTTCGGCAGACCCTCTGGCAGCAGCACGTTCATGTCATTCACCGTTTCCACGAACAATTTGAACACGCGGCACTGGAAGATGCCGAGCGAGTCCGTGAAATGATCATGCATCCGCGGGTCACGGCGCCCGGCGCACGCGTTGCAGGCCTTGCAGATTTCCCCCCAGAAGCTGAGCATGAGCTGCCGGCCGAAATCGTCCAAATCGAAATCGCTGGGTGGAAGCCTCTGCCCCTCCGCCACGCGAATGGTGCCGTCGGACAAGGAGACGTTCCTGAAAAAGTTGTCGAGTTGATGTCCTAGCCCTTCTGCCTCTGAGGCCAAGCAAAGCTGACGCGTAGCGGGGCGAACGGAACGCTGCGTCCTCCTTCCTCCCCGTCCTTTTCCTCCCTCCTCCTCCTTCCCTGTGCCTGTCCCTCCTTTTTCCCGAATCAGGGCTTGCCCCTGTATGCGGCCCTACCGGGTTCATCTGGTTAAGTGAGGTGGGCCACCGCTTTCCGTGTCCCGCCCGGGTGCCCAAGTGCCCGGGCGCCCTGCGGGTCGCCGATTCCGGTGGCCCGCCCGGGTGCCCAGGTGCCCGGGCGCCTTGCGGGTCGCCGATTGTGGTGGCCCGCCCGGGTGCCGGGGCGCCCTACAGACCCAGAGTCCTATAGCCCTTTAGCCCACTAGCTCTATAGCCCCATAGCCGTATAGCCCAATAGCACGATAGCCCTATAGTACTATATCCCTATAGCCCGATAACCTTTTAGCCCCACAGCCTTATAGCCTTGTGGCACTATTATGCCCTATTGCCCTACAGCCCTATAGCCCTATAGGCCCACAGCCCTGTAGCCCCATAGCCCAATAGCCCAACAACCCAATATCCCAATAGCCCCAGAACCCTATAGCCCTATAACCCTATGGCCTCATAGCCCCATAGCCCTATAGCCCTACAGTCCTGCAGCCCTGTAGCCCTATAGCGCTATAGCCTATAGCCCTATAGCCCTACAGCCCTATAGCCCTATAGCCCCATAGCCCCATAACTCCACAGTCCCATGGCCCTATAGCCCCACAGCCCCATAGCTTCATAGACCTAATAGACCGAATCAACTGAATAGACCGAGTAGACCTAGTAGACCTAATAGACCTAATTGACCTTATGGTCCGATCAATGTAAGAGGCCCTATAGACCTGATTGGGTTTTTTGTCAGTAGAATCATGCGTCCTCCTCCCCCTCCTCCTCCTCCTCCTCCTCCTCCACCTCCTCCTCCTCCTCCTCGTTTTCCTCCTCCTTTTCCTCCTCCTCCTCCTCCTCCTCCTCCTCCTCCCTCTCCTCCCTACCCATCCCCCTCGCCCCCCCTCCTCCCCCTCGTCTTCCTTTTTCTGCCTATGCTACCAGACCTTGCAGTCGGCGCCGAAGCGGGACTGGATGTTGTCGGTGTTCGTGGTGAGCGAGTCGTTGTTCAGGCAGATGCGCCATCTTTTCGTGGGATTCCGCCCGGACAGCTGCCCAAATACGGTTGGGATCTGACTCGGCTGGATCATCACGAGCCCGCCGATGTTGGCGCCCGCCATCGACCTTTTGCAACCGGCCGCGATCTTCGTCGCGGTGCCGCCGGAGAACAGAATAAATTCTTCGAAGCTCAATGTGCCTGCCTTGGCGGGCTGACCTGGGAAGGCCATTGTCAGCGATCCTTCCTCGGACGCGTAGAAAACGCGAGGGCCTAGGCCGTGCTCCAACGATACCGCCTGCTCGTTCGCATGGTCAATGAGGCCCTCGAAGGTGACGCGCGCGTTCAGGAACAACCACGCGAACGTGGTATCTGGGGCGATGGCCTTGGACGGGGCAACCTCCACGGGCTCGTCGTCATCGTCATCAGCCGGCTCAGGCTGAGCAGCCTGCCTGCCGCCTTTGCCCCCTTTTTTGGCGCCTTTGCCTCCTTTTGCCGCTGCTGCTTTGCCTCGGGGCCCGTGGGGCTGCAAGCCTCCGGACCGCGGCACCCACTTGTACTGCATGCCCTTCTCGCACAGCTTGTTCTTTAAGCTGCTGGTCAGGAGCGTCTGCGCGCGATCGTGCAACTTGGACTTCCTGGTGTTGGAGCCGCCGATGGGCATGGGCCGCTCGTACACAGTCTTCTCGCCGACCTTGCACGGGCTAGGGATGAGGAACATGCTCACCGCTGTGTACGGAGCCCGGGCACACAGAGGATCCACCGACAGCGAGCTCCCGAGGTGGATGTTCCTGGTCGCCGCCACGGCACCACACATGGCCCGCACGCTGTACCTCGAGTGGTGCTGAATGGCGTCGTCGAAGGAGAAACATTTATCGTTTCCATTCACCGTCAGAAGCTTCTCAGTCAGGTCATACACGTGCTTCTTCATATCCGCGAGATTGGACCCCAAGACCTCGTACGCCGCTGGCATGTCCAAGATCACGTCCAATGCCTTGGACCGCTCTGCGCACTCCTTCGACGCGTCGAACAAGTCCGCCCACCTCTGCACGTCGATTATGTCCTTCACGGAACCACTGATGAGCTTAATCGCTGAAGGCAATGGATCGTCCGCGGGCTTTGCACCCGCCTGCACAGCCGAAGCAAGCTGCTGCTCCAACGCCAGAGATGCATCAGACTCCACATGGCGGCGGCGTTTCAATTCCGGCTCGCCCATGGTTCTGGCTGGGCGGCAGTACACTGCCGAACGCCTTCAAACTTCAGCCAGAGAGGCTTCGCCTTATCCCGGGCACCTACTCCAGGAAACTGGGCCTGGCTGTCGGTCTGGCGGCTCTGTTGTCGCCGTCGCCACCCGTCGCCGCCGTCCGTCGCCGCTCCATCCGGGCAGGGCTGTAGGTCGCGGCGCTTGTTGTCTGAGGCTGAGGCTGAGGCAAGCTGAAGGCAGACTGAGGCTGAGGCTGAAGGCTGAAGCAGGCTGAGGCTGAGGCTGAGGCAGGCTGAGGCTGAGGCTGAGGCAGGCTGATGCTGAGGCAGGCTGAGGCTGAGGCTGAGGCTCATGCAGGCTGAGGCTGAGGCGATGCTGAAGGCAGAATGATCACTGGGCTGAAGCAGGCTGAGGCTGAGGCTGAGGCAGGCTGAGGCTGAGGCTGAGGCAGGCTGATGCCTGAGGCTGGCTGAGGGATGGAGGCCGAGGCGATGCAGGCTGAGGCTGAAGGCAGACTGAAGCTGAGGACGAGGCTGTAGGCAGACTGAGGCTGAGGCTGAAGCAGCTGAGGCTGAGGCTGAGGCAGGCTGAGGCTGAGGCTGAGGCAGGCTGATGCTGAGGCAGGCTGAGGCTGAGGCTGAGGCTGATGCAGGCTGAGGCTGAGGCAGGCTGAGGCTGAGGCCGAGGCTGAAGGCAGATTGAGGCTGAGGCTGAAGCAGGCTGAGGCTGGGGCTGAGGCAGGCTGAGGCTGAGGCAGGCTGAGGCTGAGGCTGAGGCAGGCTGATGCTGAGGCAGGCTGAGGCTGAGGCTGATGCAGGCTGAGGCTGAGGCAGGCTGAGGCTGAGGCCGAGGCTGAAGGCAGACTGAGGCTGAGGCTGAAGCGGGCTGAGGCTGAGGCTGAGGCAGGCTGAGGCAGGCTGAGGCTGAGGCTGAGGCAGGCTGATGCTGAGGCAGGCTGAGGCTGAGGCTGAGGCTGATGCAGGCTGAGGCTGAGGCAGGCTGAGGCTGAGGCCGAGGCTGAAGGCAGACTGAGGCTGAGGATGAAGCAGGCTGAGGCTGAGGCTGAGGCAGGCTGAGGCTGAGGCTGAGGCAGGCTGATGCTGAGGCAGGCTGAGGCTGAGGCTGAGGCTGATGCAGGCTGAGGCTGAGGCATGCTGAGGCTGAGGCCGAGGCTGAAGGCAGACTGAGGCTGAGGCTGAAGCAGGCTGAGGCTGAGGCTGAGGCAGGCTGAGGCTGAGGCAGGCTGAGGCTGAGGCTGAGGCAGGCTGAGGCTGAGGCTGATGCAGGCTGAGGCTGAGGCAGGCTGAGGCTTAGGCTGAGGCTGATGCAGGCTGAGGCTGCGGCAGGCTGAGGCTGAGGCGGAGGCTGAAGGCAGACTGAGGCTGAGGCTGAAGCAGGCTGAGGCTGAGGCTGAGGCAGGCTGAGGCTGAGGCTGAGGCAGGCTGATGCTGAGGCAGGCTGAGGCTGAGGCTGAGGCTGATGCAGGCTGAGGCTGAGCCAGGCTGAGGCTGAGGCCGAGGCTGAAGGCAGACTGATGCTGAGGCTGAAGCAGGCTGAGGCTGAGGCTGAGGCAGGCTGAGGCTGAGGCAGGCTGAGGCTGTGACTGCGACTGCCGTTGCCACTGCGACTGCCATCGCGAATGCGACTACGACTGCGAGAACAGCAGAATTCTACAACAGGATTCTCATCTGAATCTTAAGGGGAATGCTTCCAGATATGCTCCTACACATCGCTGGCAGGTTGCCTTGCCGGGATAGTGAATTTTTGTTGCGGCCCCCGGGGGGGGGGCGAAAATGCGACGACCAACGCATCGCCACGGCGTGCCGTACTACGAGAAGGCACGAGCAGCAGCATGTGCGCACACCTCTTGATCCTCATCCCCCTGATCGTGCACCTCCTCCCTGCCCGGGGCCCATCGTCCCTTCTGCCGCGCCGGGCCTCTGGGCCAATGCGGATGGATGGCCTGCTTGCCACGGGCCCTGCTGGCCGCAGACACCAGGGATTGTAGCGGGCAAGCGCCCCAGCGTGACTACATTCGCGCTCTGCTGTCTCGCCGCTTGTGCCGCGCCTCTCGTGGCTCGTGCGCGCGCGGGCGTGCAGATGAGCTCCGCGTGGTAATTCCCTTGTGGGGCCTCCGCGCGGACACTTGGTCATGCTGAGTTGTATAGGGATGTCGTCTGTGTCCCAGCCCTACTCCACTCTTCTTGGTTGTGTGATTCCTTCCCTCCTCCTCTCCCCCAGTGCCCCGGTAGAGCACAGCGCGCGCTAGCAGAAGCGCCGCCTACAGTTGACCGGCCCTTCGGCTTCATCAGCCTCGCAATCAAAAACAATATTTCTCCTCCTCATCCTCCGCCCTCGTCGTCCTGGACTTCCTCGTCGTCCTCCTCCTCCTCCTCCTCCTCCTCCTCCTCCTCCTCCTCCTCCTCCACATCCCCCCTCTTCCCCCACATGCCCCGCAGCGCCTCGAATCCCCATGTGGCACAGATGCTCACCGAGCAATTAAATTAGCGCGCCTGCAAGCTGGCAAGCAACGCGCGATTCTCCAACGGGCGATTGCGGGACCGCAGGTCCACCCCGCAGTCTTTGATTGGCGTGACGATGCTCGCGGAGAAAAAGAAAGGATGAGGAGGACGGGTTGGAGTAGGAGGAAGATTCGAGTTGGAGTTGGGGGAGGGGCTGCCCTGTGTGCTGAGCCCGTCTCCCAGGGGGGGCACGTCGAACAAAGGTTCCGTCTACGGACACCCGGCCTTCGACGCGGAGACAAGACACGAGAACGACCACGACGACGGGCACGACGACGACGAGCGCGACGACGACGACCACCGCGACGACCACGACGACGACGAGCAGCGGCAGGCAAGTCAAACGAGGGTTCCGTCTACAGACAACCAGCCCTGTGCGCGGAACCCCGTCTCCCAAGAAAGACACGTCAAGCCAGGGTTCCTTCTATAGACACCCAACCTTGGACGCGGAGTCAAGCCACGAGCGCGACGACAACCGCGACGACGACGACCGCAACGACGACGAGCAGAGGCAGGCAGGTCAAACCAGGGTTCCGTCTACAAACACCCAGCCTTGCGCTCTGAGCCACGTCCACCAAAGGACACGCGTCAAGCCCGGGCTCCGTCTACTGACGCCCAGCCTTAGACGCGGAGCCACGCCACGAGCACGACGGCGACGACCGCGACCAAGACGAGCAGAGGGAGGCCAGTCAAACCCGGGCTCCGTCTGCAAAGGCCCACCCCTGCGTTCTGAACCCCGTCTCCCAAGGGACACGCGTCGAGCCTGAGCTCCGTCTACAGACGCCCAGCCTTGGACGCGGGGCCAAGCCACGAGCACGACGAGCACGACGACAACCGCGACGACGACGACGTCGACGACGACCACGACGACGAGCATAGGGAGGCCAGTCAAATCAGGGTTCCGTCTACAGACACCCAGCCCTGTGCGCTGAGCCCCGTTTCCCGGGGAGACACATCATGCCAGGGTTCCGTCTACAGACGCCAAGCCTTCGACGCGGGGTCAAACCGCAGGAGCGACGAAAACGACGGCGGGCACGACGATGACGGGCGCGACGACGACGACGACCACGACGGCGACTGCGACGAACAGAGGGAGGCCAGTCAAGGCGAGGTTCCGTCTACAGACACCCAGCCCTGTGCGCTAAGCCCCCTCTCCCATAGGGACACGCGTCAAGCCTGAGCTCCGTCTACAGACGCCCGGCCCTGGACGTGGGGCCAAGCCACGAGCACGACGGCGACGAGCACGACGACGACCGCGACGACGACGACGACGACGACGACGACGACGACGACGACGAACATAGGGAGGCCTGTCAAGCCAGGGTTCCGTCTACAGACACCCAGCCCTATGCGCTGAGCCCCGCCTCCCCGGGGAGACACGTCAGGCCAGGGTTCCGTCTGCAGACGCCAAGCCTTCGATGCGGGGTCAGACCGCAGGAGCGACGAAAACGACGACGGGCACTACGATGACGAGCGCGACGACGGCGACCACGATCGCGACGAACAGAAGGAGGCCAGTCAAGGCAAGGTTCCGTCTACAGACACCCAGCCCTGTGCGCTAAGCCCCCATCGGAGACGCGTCAAGCCAGGGCGCCGTCTACAGACGCCCAGCCTTGGACGCGGAGTCAAGCCACGAGCACGACGGCGACGAGCACGACGACGACGACCACAACGACGACCGCGACGACGACGAGCAGAGGGGAGGGGGGCCAGTCAAACCAGGGTTCCGTCTACAAACACCCAGCTCTGCGCGCCCAGCCCGTCTCCCAAGGGAGACACGTCAAGCGATGGTTCCGTCCAATGACGATCAGCATTGGACGCGGGGCCAAG